TGAGTGACACGTGTTGCTGTGTTAAGAGAAGTCTTCAATTGAAATCAACATGCGAGATGGGATACAACTATTGACTCATATATCTGAAGAAAATGGTCATGCAACATGTGTTTTTATCTTAGAACAACATATCTTGTGTTATACGTCACGTCACTCTTATTCAACAAATGTCAATAACTAACACGTGGATATATGAAACATGTCGATACATATGTCGTTTAGTATACCTTCATGTAACGCATATTACGAATGCTACTACACAACTGTTTTCATGTCACATGTTTAGCGTGTGTTGATACCTTTACCTGTTTTTTGTGACTTTTATTATAAAGTATATCAAAGAGCTAGAATGATAAGATAATGTAACGGTAAAGAGACTTTGAACAGTATTATAGCTTTATCCTAATTAGTCATCATAATTTCCTGTTACATGTCAAAATATCCTCTGAGACACGAACATGAATAGATTTGGCAGACTTAACAAAAACGTGTAGGAATACTTATCTCCGAGCCATCTCATCCATAATTCACCCACAAAGAGAACGCAAAAAGTAAATTGTATAATAAGCTAGCGGAATTGCCTTTTTACACAAACAAGTAATTATCACCTTTTAACATAAATGCAGAATGAAATACAGTAGAACCTAACAATAAATAAAGCTGCATCATACAGCTTCGACCTTCCATGTCTCATCACTGATGATAAGTGCCTTAATATCTTTAAGCTAAGGTTGCGTCTGAAAAAATCTTAGTGATCTGTAAGATTTGTCAAAATGTAGACAAGGAGATGTATTAGTCTCAATTCTCAGTAACTCATAATTTTCATGGTTCTGATACTTTTAAAAGAACGTTACGTACATAAGTATACGTGACTCTCAAGTTGCGGTAAACCTCGTGGACTAAAAGTTCATCACAAGGCAATAGTACTTCCTGCGAAAAAAGTGTGTCTGTTGATTAATGCCAATTAAGAGCCTCAATGATTCACACTGACGTCGTCTACATTTTTGTGGTTATAAATTGTTGTAAAACAAAAACTGTTGTAGAAGACGTCGTGTGATTTGTTTGGTTAAGGATAAACGTCCGACATTTATTGAGAGGTCTGACCCAATCAATCTCGTAAACAAAGCAATGCAATGGTGTTTACATTGTGTGGACAACAATATAGAGTTCATTGTGTTATGCTTTCCATCCAAATCGAACGTTGACTTTCATCACTTTTTGTTACCATTGTGTTTTTATCAGGGCGACAATTAAGAGGTCAACACTTTTTCTTATTGCGTCATGAGTTTTGAAGCATGTCAAGTGATCTGAATAATTATCATATGTTACCTTACTAAACTCGTTTGCATATCATTACATAGGCAATCAATTGATGAAAAGTAATATACTAAATATTAAACGATCTATCTTAATGTTTTCCAAAAATGCTGTTTGATCACTTAACATAAAATTCTCTGAAGTTCTGAATGCTGAGTAAATTATCTGCTGATAAATAATTGTGATTTTGATATAAACCTATTGTACAATGTAGTAACAATCACTCCCCCACCCAAATGCATTAGCTTGAGCTAGCACCTTTGTCAACCTAAAATGAACAGTGCACTAATTTGTTCTTATTGTTTTTATTATTATTTGTTTTTTGTTGTTTCGCGTTTATACTTAATGATACCAGATTTAAACTTGTTGCGCTATTGACAAAGCCTTGCTACCAAAGCCTTATATTCACTAAACTGGAAAATATAATTATGTGACGAACAAAGGGCAATTAAGATAAATCCTTTATATTTTTATCTACAATTTGCTAATTTTTTCCTGCCTGTTAAAACAATTGTAAATAACAATTTAAATCTGTTTCCTTATTTTGACATTGAAGTGAAATTGAAACCAAGATTTTTTTCTGACGTAAATTTGAAATGCATGCCGATAGGCGGCATCGTTAATAGGATTTTGATGTTTAAGTTTGTTTTCCGAATATTCATCCCGGTTATCAGTGGAAGTCTCAAGATATAGCAACTGCAGATTTTAACGTTAGCTTTTCAAATTAGATGTGTTTGGTAAAAGTCTCTTTAGCTTGAAGACGTGTGAACCGAAGTATAAATCTGAGAGTTTTACGCCAAAAATTCATTTCTTAAGAACATTTTCTGTGCCAATCACACCGCCCATCTTGAATATGCATTTAACTCCGATTTTTAATTTATCAAAAAAAAAATAAAGTTTGGATAATATAATATATCAAGCTGACCGTGCTTGGTCTGTTTACCGACCTGTTTACAACCAATGGGAATATTGAAGTGTACTACAGATGAGTTGTTGTCATTATAATACGTGTCTATTGTAATCACCATATTATCTAAATCTGTATCGTTATGCCTTTGAAACGAGCATACATGCTTCTGTCTGGAAACAAGACAATTGCCAATAACTGATGACGGAGTTTGGTCTTCATCCGCTTCACAACACGGTGCCTGGAGCCATTCTGTAAAACTCAATATATTGATTTAAAATTGTAGGCGAGACTTGAGAACTTACAATACTATAATGGTTTTAAGTTTGGATAATTTTCATGAACATGATACGTGGATACATCTGTGTGATATGATCGGAATGTGTTTCAGGCGTATAAATCTTTTTCTTTTTTTTAATCTATTGGTTTTTATTTTTTTTAATTTGAATTTGGATTATGTTTCTGTTTAACAGGTTGGTTTTTTCTTTGTTGTTTTTCCTATTCAGTTTGAAACCATTGTTTACATTCAGTCATAGGTGAATATCTTTTCTGTTTGCATAATTACATAACATTATCGCCAGATGGTGAAAATTAATCAAACCCTGCTTTCGTGCATCGCAAATAAGTATACCCTAAAGAACTTTATCATCAAACAATTCGGATTCAAATGGGAATGACAGCTAATTAATAGGAAGTCGATTATAATAAAACATACATGTGTTTAAAGTTACTTTGTATGAAGATAAAAGCCATTGATTAATTTAGATGACTTAAGCACTGTTCCTAACATATTCTAGAAATCCCGTTGTGTTCCCAATAATCCAGCCACCTTTGTTATCAGTAGATATGTCTATTCTCGAAATTGAGTCAACGAAAAAACAATTTTAGGAAACACCACGAAAACTGAGCCCAATAAAATATATGATTGCACAGTAACTCGGACTTTACACCAAAGTTGTTATTTGTTAAATGTTAATGCTTTCAGAGAAAGTCGACTGCATATCAATCCATTGAGCTATTAAATAGGTATTTCATCGGCATACTCTTCTACATCAGCTGCTTGTCTCAATCTTTTCCTACAACGAAACAAACATCGGCACCTTTTCACCAAGTTATATAATAAACGTGTTGATTTCACTTTCCCCGTTGTAATTTTCTTTTCATTTCTGGATAGTAACATCTCCGTGTCCCCAACTTGTTATGTTTACATGTCGCATTTAATTCGATATTCAAAGGCCCGTTCCCATTATCACAATTTCGTTTTAAAAAATGCAGGTTGGAGATGTATGTGTAGGTTTTACGTCGTTGTTGTGATCTCGTTTAGAAACACTATTTCTTTGAAACTTGACGTGTATGATGCTCGTTAGTTAGTTTGTTCCGTTGTTGTATATCTTGTTCTCATTTGAGAACGTGACTTAAGTTATTTGTATTTACCAAGTTTAAGGTTATGTTGACATGTTGGCATTTTCTTGTTTTCTTCAAATATCACTCTATGCCATCACCTTTATTGAGAAAATACTATATAAACTAGTATTATTTAAAGACGAGCGAATCTCTCATTTTGATACAATTTAGAAGCAGGTACAGCTATTTCGTCTTTCTGGGAGCCTAAATTTTGAAAATTCATAGTGATCACAATCCAAATAGATAATTATCTATTAATATAGATATGATAATTTCAGAAAAAAAAACAAGCACTTGTATATGACAATATAAACAGATACATATTCATATGTAAATCCATTTCAATAACATGGATAAAAGACAGACCTTGAAATGTGTGAAGTATACATCATGACACGTAATATAATGTCTTGATACAAGCGTAAAGCTATCTGTGATTTGCACTGACAACCAATGAAAATTTTAATTGGGTGTTAATGTTTAAACAATTTTACAAGTTCTTGCCGCTACCAGCCACGGATAAAAGCGCACCAACAAAAGGACGTTATCCGTCATAATTCGTCATTCACACACCGAATTTATATTAAAATTAATTACAAAAACCAATATCACCTGACAGGTATACATTGATATGAACGAAGCGAAATTAATTGTTTTTGTTTTTGACATTTTAATGCAAAATAATTTGGTTTTGACGACTCATTTGAATATTATCACTCAATCACCTAGGCGTTTTCTAACATCTATCATACAACATGCCAATCAAGATTGATATCACGGAAAAGGACAGTTCGATCTTATTGTGGGCGGAAAATGATGATTATCGACTGAGGGCGGACAATGTCTTTCTTGTTGTCTTTAACGTATACACCTAACTTGAGTAAGTTAGTTTGTCTGTTGATTCCATTTTTGTAAACATTGTTCTCATTTGAGAACGTGAAATTACTTACTTGGGCGGACCGAGATTTACATGGCGGGCTTTGTCGATGAAGCAGAAGACGCTTAATCTTCTAGAACATATGGTCTTATTCTTCTTATACTTTTTCATGAGCTTCCGTGTATTTCTTTCTTTTTTCATATGGTGATATTGAATTTGAGTTTGGATTATCATTATGTTCATATATTGACATTTTCTTGTCATACGAATTAAACAGAATCATAATGATGTTCAATACCTAAACATTACACAAAAGTTTACGAGAGTTTGTTCGTACTGTCACATGCAAGAAACACAATTTGCACTATTTTTGCAACAAAAGTACTGACACTGGTAGATTAGCATATACATATACAGAATTAACTTCTTATACAGAAACACTATTCATAAGACTTTGAAGAAAAATCTTCTACGTATTGTATTGTTTATTTGCAGATGTGAATCAGTTCTGGCGATTTGTGCTCAACTCAATGCGGAATCGCGGTTCCGGTCGTACAAGCTTCACTGTTGTGTATGATCCGGACGGAAGACGTACAAGCGTCACAACGTCTAGCTTCTCAAGTAATACCGGAAGTGGCACTGGTTCCCCACAAAACTTCAGAATCGATTCAGGTCTCTCTACCAACACCGCAAGTAGCACAGGTACTGACATCTCTATAGGTGGATCTGGTTTTCCTATAAGCAGCGATAGCACAGGCAGAGCAACGAATGCTATAGACGCACCTCCACCACCTCCACCACCCGAATTCTCCGAACCCACAGTGCCTCAATCGAAGCCAATCGTAAAACGACCGTCCGTTCCCATGGATAACATACTGGGGGTAAGGTTATATACATCTGAAGCCTGCAATTTTCTTACATCCTTGCCCCTGTTGCACAATCTTTGCCAGAGTTGACCAGGTTTCACACAAACCAGTAGTTAACTTTAACTACCCTTTTAGCAACTGGAACCTGGTAACTACAGTGGTAGTTATATCATATAAGAGGAAGTTGTCTATTGGTGACCTCCTGGTGGCCTGTCGCAATCTTTACACACGATCTTACTATGTTACCATCCAGTGATGCAAATACACATATAATACCATAGGTACAGCTGTTATCATTTTCCACATTTTGTCATGTTCATAGATGTACCATTTGTATTTTTAAATAGTCTTAATTGCGTAACTGAGTGACATCAAGGTCATTCTTTAGATTAAGAAGACAAAGAGATTAAAGCATCATTTCCAGTAATATGTTTATTTCATTACAGCAGACTTCTGGAATATATCATATAATGATATTGAAGATAACAAATATCTATAAAAACAAGGAATATCTATCTAATAATATATATATATATATATATATATATATATATATATATATAAAGCTGATAGTGACGCCACAACACCCTGTTTGTTACAGTATTTCTAGACATACAGATAAAATATATACAAAAAATTTGTTTATCAAATTTGGTTCTGATCTTTTTATGTTTCGTAAAGAATATCTTAGAAAAAATATGAGGATAATAAAAAAAAACTCTTTACGGGAAGTATTGTTTTTGATCCATGTAATATTTTCGTCGCACGTCATTATATAAACTAGAGGAACGCAAAATAGTGTAAACACGATGAAATTGTCTAATGACGTCATTTCCTGTTTACTTTCAGAATACTTGTACCAGTGAATACAAAGCTTTAAAAGGACACACACTATGCATGCGAGACGACTCACGTGTGCGGGTTAGTGGAGTATCAGAGGTAGATAAGAAGATGATCACAGATCTACATAACGATTACCGCTCTAAGGTCGAACCTCCTGCCACCGACCTCGTTACACTGGTACGTCATTTATAGCTGTTTTAGTCAGTATATCATATTTTTTGATAAGCTGATCTATACCATATTCTCGTGAAATATTCTTCTTTGTTGAATGTGCTCTAGGTTCGTCAATATACATGTACCTTTATAATTGACCCGATTCTCATTTGTAGAACATGCCATTGCGTGCATTAACAGTGTGTCTTCAAAACAGATTATCGTTCAAGAACGCCTGATTTGAATATCCTAGTGATTACTATCAAGCAATCCTATTTCTTTATATGTTGTCATTGTTTTTTTTCGATTTTGAATTAGAACCAAGTAAACGTTTGCGAATCATGTCTAGGTTCAATAAATTGAGATATTTTGTAGGTTGGCACCAGGTTTAGTCGTTTTTTCAAACTTCATAACCTTTCATAACATATAATACATTGCATGCTGAAAAATGAAATTTGATTGCTTACTGCACGGAGTTATGGAAAAGGAGCTTAGATCTTGTCGGGCACAAAAGCTGAATGCATCTGAACGTAGAGATAATATCTTTTCTTTGTATTCAAACAGAAATGGGATGAGCGACTTGCATCTGTAGCTCAGAAGTGGGCGAATCAATGTAAAGCTGGTCATGACAAAATGCGAAAGATTCCATGTAAGTGACGCAACATCTCCGCCACAAAATGCATTGCTTATCCTGAATGTGACTGGTTGTATAGCGCGGTTATCTTAATTCAAATCATCTTATATAACCAAAACAGAAAGGGAATGGTGATAAAAAATATACCATTAACATAGCTGTGTGAAAGAAGATTTGTAAGATTTGTAAGATGTAAGGGGCTGCATTTTTTTTAAGTATAAGGAACATACTACTTCCGGGGTCAAATTTGGGACATAGTTAAGCATAATATTGGCTGTTTATGCCTTTCACTGCCGACCCCACCATAACGTTAGAGATTTTACTTGCAGCGATTGGCTTGTCTGTTGGACAAAATGTGGCGGGAGGATACAAGACATGGGAAGAGGCAGTGTTCCACTGGTACGATGAAATTCGAATGTGGAGGTACGGTATAGATCCAGATTCCTACCTTGGCTTCGGAGGCTGGAGAAAAATCGGTCACTTTACTCAGGTATGTGTTTTATTATATACCGAATATGTATGTACGTATACATTAATATTGAAAATTGTACCATTTCTTAAAGTTAAATATTTTGAAAGTCGTTATACTTCACATTTATATATATATATATATATATCATTATGACCACTTTCAGTACATGAAATGCTTGAAGGAAATAGGTATTTTGTAAAATTGCCAACAGACTGTTACTAACTATGGACTATATTCTCATTAATTTTTACAGTGTATTATAAAATAGTAAAATATCAAATTAAAAACTACGTCAGCTTCTGTTTAAATAGTGCTGCTCTCACTCTTATCTTTAAAGTAGAATTGCTATTGTTTTGTTAACAGATTGTAAACAATGCCACGTTCTTGGTTGGATGTGGGTACGCGGAGTGCCGCCGTAGTCAGTACACACGTTACTATGTCTGTGACTATGCAGCCGGGTAAGTTAAGAACCATCGATAGTCACACTGGGCAAACCTTATAACCATTTATAGGCACACGTTAAAAGGCAAACCTTAGGAACCATCAATAGGCACACTGGGCAAACGTTATAACTATTTATGGGCACACGTTAATGGGCAAAATTTAAGAGCCATTAATAGGCACAATAGGCAAGAGTTAATAACCATTTATAGGCACACGTGAAAATGCAAACCTTAAGAACCACCAATAGGCGCCAGAGGCAAGCGTTAATAACCATTTATAGGCACACGTTAATAGACAAAAGTTAAGAATCAATCATTTTCACATATTATTAATGTATGACGTTTGTTATGTAAATATTGTTTTGGAATTCAGCCAATCGAACCTAGCCTTCCCATACACTGCAGCTCGCCCCGGAACTGGTGAAGGCCGGTGTTCTGCTTGTCCAAACACGTGTAACAGGGGACAGTGTGGTAAGTAGATTATATGAAATACTATTTTAACAGCAAGCCCACGATGTTGTTGCTGTGATGTAAATTGTCGGATCATCATGAAATACGTTGTTTTCTCGTTAGCTGGTAACATATAAGGAAAGTTACAAAATTTTGTGATTTTTTTATTCGCCCTAATAGTAACGAGCACGAGAATTTATCAAAACTTAATCCTTCGTTGTTATCATTAATACAAATCCATACCCAACAACGTTTTAGATGACAGCGAAAGAATATAATGACATCTATCTATCTATTGATGTCTTTTCAGATTGCCAAGGACTTGTCTGTCTTAATGGCGGAAAATTGGATCCTAATTCATGCACGTGCACATGCACGAAATTGTACTCCGGAAAATCATGTGAACAATGTAAGTAGCAACTTCAAATAATTCATTATAACAAAATAAAAAAAAAAAAAAATGAAAAAAAAAATTATAAAAACTGGAAGTCAGCAACTGGGATGTTAAACTGAATATAGTATCAAATTAATCAAATGAAACTTTCATTGAATAAATGAGGTTTTCATTTAATTATTCCACATGTATATACATGGTATGTAGTAATCAATGTTATAATACTCACGTCTATAAATAACTGAAATCATAATGATGTCTAACTGGCGTTCCTACTGTGTTCAGTGATATGCCCAGCCAAGGACAAGTGGATTTGTCGTCGAGACTGGCCACAAAGCTACTGTACCAGATATACCAATGTTCCAGAGGAGTGCCCATACATGTGTGGTCTTTGCAAATGTAAGTTCACACACCAAGTGGCACCATGAATGAAATTCAAAATACATTTATGTCCACAGTGATTGCATATTTACTACAAAATAACGTTTATGAAAAAAAAATGATAAAAAAAAAATTCATAAAAAAAGATAATTCATAATTGAAACACTAATATTTGATGTACCACATGATGTTGTAACATTTATCGAGCATGACAGAGTCTGGATATATTTATTTGTTTCAGCGGGAACTGGTAGTACATCCGAAATCACTCCGGAAGTTACTTATGTATCTTCATTTGGATGTCGATATGAGGGCGCGCGCTCAACTCTAGGTAAATTACATTTTATTTCTGTTAGATTTCCTGAAGATGATTTATTATGTATTGTGAAGAAAAAGACGCTTACTCTTCTGAAACACATGATCTTATTATCTTCGGGTTTATCCTTGTAAATCTTTCCTTTGTTCATATCTTGTCATAGTTTTATTGATGTCGTCAACTGACTTACACACTCGTAACACGATGGTTCAAAAGATGCAGGTTGATGCTCGTGAGTTTGCCTGTTGGTTCAGTTTTTGTATGCCTTGTTCCCATTTGAGAACGTGACATTGCTTACTTGGATTGACCAAGGTTTATATGGCGTTTGTCGCCGATGAAGCAGAAGAAGCTCACTCTTCTGGAACTCCTGGTCTTATTCTCCTTATTTTTTTCAGGAGTCTCCATGTAAATCTTTCTTTTATTAATATTTCTGGCCTAATTATTGAACTTGAATTTGAATTTGTTGAAGGCTTGTTTTACCCGAATATAATTTCATCTTTAATGAAATAGGAATGATATATATATATATATATATATATATTGACATAAACAATCTCTAATTTCTATTTCCCACAGACGAATGCAAAGCATATGGAAACGGCGGAGTCGACATCCACGCATGCGCAACTAAAGGTGGGAATATCACGTGTAACGACTGTGACAAGTTCTACAACGTCAAGCGTGACATGTGTCCAGTCATGTGTGGCCTTTGTGATCGTAAGTGTCCTGGTCGGATATATTTTTATCATCTATATTTTCGGCCATAAACTTTGTAATTAATTGTTAATTAGTGTAAGTTTATAAGTCGGAATTATTAATCGCCATTTCCATCATTAAGTATCAATTTATCAATACCAGTATCCAAATTATCTTGGTTGGTGCCAGAACATTAAAACCGAAACGAGCAAAATCGATTATTAATTAAATTTTATGTCCTTGTTCATGACAACAGTTTAGACTTATGACGGTTAACATACAAGTTACTTCGCTATTTGTAGATTTGTCCTAGTTATTTTGATTCTCATATATTTAAAAAAAATACGATATTAAATACTTTGAAGCTAAATGATATATCATATACCTACCAGTACATTGTGAACATATACTGAAAGACTATGCTTCAACAAATATAACGGAGGCGTTTCTGGTTGCAGCTCAGTGTAACGGAAAAGAGTGTAGAAATGGCGGGACACTGGACACCAATACATGCACGTGTGAATGTCAGGCTCCCTATGAAGGAGACATGTGTGAAACAGGTATGGCCATGTGATAATAATAACTCGTTGTGCATATAGGCAACACATATAGCTCGTATGGGTTCACGATGTGATGGGTTTTTATTGATTTGGATATATTAATAATTCTCATTCTCGTTTAATTTTGTTTTTTGCGTTTAGTTACTAGTTTTGTTGTCATTTGTTATCTAATTTTGTTGGCGTTTGGTATCCAGTTTTGTTGTCGTTCGCTATCGAATTTTTCCAGCATTATTATTGAATTTTTTATTGAGTTCATGATCTGCTGAAAAATAATTAATTATGTGGTGTTTCATTGATTTTAAGGGTAATCTTAATTCCCTCAGTAATATATCTACAAGCTGTTGAATAAGTCTGAGTAGATTTATTCAACTAGATTTTAAAAAAAAATCAAGTTTAAAAATAGATAATTTAATTGAGTTCAGGAAAACACCAGTTTATCTCCATCCTAGGCATCAAATTAAGATAGTCGATAAATCAAACGATAAGTCTTTTGTATTATTTTCTCCACAGTGAACTGTGCTATCCCAGATAAGCGACACTGTAGGTTCTGGCCGGTGACACACTGCCGGAAATACATTAATGTGCCCGCCGATTGTCGGCACAGGTGTAGACTTTGTCGATAGCGTGGGCCTTAGGTAAGTAAAATGTTTTATTTTTGATGTTACCAATACCATTTTCAAAATCCTTATCTTGGAGAATACATAATTTTTTTCTCTTCTTGTTTTTCGATGACCGAAACGCAGATATTTCTCACCTCATTGTTATTCGGATAAAAAATGTTACTTATGCTGCACTACAAATTAATTCCGCTCTGGATTCATTCTTATCTGATAAATTACATCTTGAAAGGAAATTTTTTAAACATTATTTTTGATATACGTTCTGAACTGAATTCCGGAAGGATTTTTCAGTTCTAACGTTTAAAGACGACCTGTGAGAAATCCAATTTTCTTCTTAAAAGGCTTTTGGGGCGAGTATGTTGATCTGTAGCCATTAATGCAGGCCTTCGTTTGTTTCTTCTTTCTTACATTTCTGATGTTTCTCTTCCCGCATATTAAACGGTCTGGCTCTATTTTCTTTGTTATGTTTTTTCAGGTCACAACTCGGAAGAAATCCTCTAGAAATTTGACTCGGTGTCACAGCTTTGCTAGATCCTTGTCACGTGACCACCATTCCTCTTTATATTACCGCCACCTATAGGCAAAAAAGGAAAAGCCTGTGAAACAGCCACCATGTAGTTTAACATTGGAGAGATTCTTCGTCGGTGTGTCTTCCCTGTAAAAGTTTAATGTCTGTGATAGTCTTTAGAGATATACGTGATCTGCTGTCTCAGATACATGATGTAACAGTGCCAAATCAAACTTGTCAATCGACAAGAATGGGAATATATATAGACATTTATAAACTTTTGGCACATTTCTAAATTTTTGGAATCAACTAAAATTAATTGTATTGTGCATTTTTATACCACAACAGAATTTTCTTACTTTGATGTAATGGATGGCATCAGTTTGAATACACTCCGCACTGTCCAGTAACACCGGTTGTACTGAATCATATATTTCAGCGAGATATAGCACGTTTCAGTTTTGACGATATGTAGTAAACTTTACCTCTTTAACATGAAACAAATCTGTACATATGTAAATATGATATAAATGTTAGTTGTGCACTTTTACTTAATTGATATAGTTCAATCGTTGAAGCATATAACAAGTTAATCACAATGGATTTCGTGTCTCGAAGGACGCCCTGTGTTCGAAACAGTCTCTAATACCTGACAGAGTTGTGAAATATCCTCCAACTGGACAAAATAATCTGGAGAACAGTTTTGAACACGGAAAGCTCGTTGTATATTAAATGTGTTGAGTAGTGTTTCCAGTATATGGAATATATTGGTGATTGAGCTTGAATCCCAGTTCGACTCGAAGTTACCGGCGACGCACAGACGAATGTTCTAGTCACACCCAGTATAGATAGTTAAGTGAGTTATTATATAAAATGTTAGTGTATCATTTAGTAATAATAAACTATTGTACTGCCAGACATTCCTTTTTTATTTGTAAATATTGTATGATAAATCTTTAACAATTTATCAATATTGATTATTTAATGATCTGCTACTTTAAACATGCTAGTCACATGCACACAGCTAGAAACGTTGTTAAACGAAAAATCAAACCAACAAATATAAAGAATGTTTTTCTACTGAGAGCGCACCTTGTCTTTATGCTAACACATTTATCATGTACAAAAGTTCTACCCTCCACCTGGTGGAATCAACAGTGCCAGGGGAGATAACTGCATCTACCAAACTCGCCGGTTCGCAGCAGGAGCTGTGATATTGTAAACCACCTGAACGAGAAACGAGGCTTTGCCCTGATTGGTCATGGCGCCGTGGATCTGAATACCATCTACGTTCCTTGACAGCCAGTGACCCGAGTTCCAGACCTCTACTGTTTTCTCGTCCTGACGTAACAAGTCATAAAGCTCCTCATTGGCTGTAACCCCCTCCATGATCTGTAACAATACATATTACTTGATAAAAACTGTTGTTCATAAAAAAATCCAAGACTTGATAGAAGATATTTGCAATGATACATTATACAGTTATTTACAAAACAGGAAGATAAAAACGCAACACAATGCATTGTACTTCGTTCATGGAATTCCTGCCATGTTGTGTAAAATATCCAGTACTTTACTTACAAAGAGAAACCGAGGCTTTCAGAACGTAATATTCAAACAGTTTACTCAAATCTGCAGTAAAATGATGACGAATGATGGAAGCAGAGACCTTTCAACAACGGAGATCGAACTACAAGTCCCGTGCTTCTCAGCTTAGCATTCTGAACATCGAGCCATCAGTTTATTAAGAAAACACTTACATTTGAAGGTCTCGTTTATCAATTATTGCGATGACGACTCTTCATATAAGTATTCTGTCCTCTTCATACTCACGTGCACATTAAACATGTTAGAGTACGGTCCGTACACCATTGGGACATCCCACATGACCGCCACCTGGTAGCCGGAATTCTCTATCGTGTAAGTAAATACGCCTGTTGTCCCGAATGTAGCATCTGTTCGATGGGAGGAAAGTATCATTAATTATCTATTTTGTCAACAAAGTGTCAATATTTTCATTGTCTATGATGTATGTTGTAAACTTTCTCTATCGATTAGATCGGTTATCGATAAAATAGAAAGCCTTCAAACTTAGCCTTCAAATAGAGAAGAAACACAACTTACAATGTGTTTTTTCAAAAGTAAATACTCCGCCGTCCCCTGGGATGATTTCTCTTGGCAATGGCTCTCTGAGAACTCCGTGTGATAGATACCATTCCGGATTTACCATCTTTTTGTTTCCCATATTAGAAAAACCCACAACACAGACACGAGACATGTCCACTTGTGAAGCGACACCAGATAGCAGTTTGAATCCAACAGAGGCAGCAGACACGATACCAACGACTGTTGAGGCATTGAGATACGAATGTGAAGGTAAAGATCATTAATAAGTTGATATACAAAATATATCATCATAGTTTGTTTTACGAGATATCTGTATTCCCTAAACTGTGCAACTGAAATTCGGAAACGCTTCACCTTTTTATTGCAAATTTGAAGTTCTTGCCAGTTTATGCCAGTTAAATATCCATATTTAGCAATGATCGATGCATTTTTTAAAAATACCATATTATCTCCAAATATCACAAACAGCAATCATCAATATTGGTATCTCGGTATGATAACCGGTAGTAAATATCAAGAAAATCTAGTCAACCGTGAAGGCAATTGGTACCTGCATTTCGAAACATTCAGAATCAAGGGACATCCCTTTTGATATTAATTCATACGCTTAAAGACAAACAAGTGTCCACCTCTCTTGCTTGGAATTCCTCTCGTTGTAAGATTCCGGAAAGCCTCGTTGTGTGTGTAGAGGTGATCAGTGTCTATTTTCTGCGTTTCAGCCTCTCTGGCCTCTCGTTCGAAGTCCAATGACAAAGTACATGTCAAACAGACTCCTCTGAAACAAAAACAAATCTCGGAATATTATTGTTTTTTGTCAATTTCCAATAAACCATGTATTTTGTCTGTCGAATATGGGTGGAAGTGTTTAACGTATACAAGCTGTTAAACTATAAATTGGGCTGCACTAACCTTGAAGCATTATTTCCACTACAAAAATTAAAATGTATAGAAATTCACGCGCATATTTGCCAACCACACTTCCTACACCCCATTTCCGGCATATTTAGGGGGACTCCTAACTTTGAGTTCAAATTTCATTTTAGGAGGACCCTTTATATCCAACGATCCTGATATGAATTTTGTCTTATTCATGTTGATATAGAAAATTATAACGGTAGCAGTACTACATTTACAAGTGTAAATATCACCGAGACATTACTGCGTATAGTCAGGTACATTTTGCGGATTCCAATGTCATGTTAGATGGATAACTAAGTATTTCATACTTATTGAATACTTACAAAAACAATATTACTGTAAACTTCATGTCGATGTTTGCTGCAAAATAAGGGATCATCATTATTAACATTGTACAAAAAAACACACAAATGATTAGTACTTTTAAGTAGTAAGATAAACTACATCATACAGCTCTTTGTCCTTCTAGGACTAAGCAGTGAAGCTAAGGGCCTAAATCTTAATATGAGGCGATGAACACACAAAATTATCAAAAGAAATAACAAAATATAATAGATCAATAACTCAATACATTTGGTAATTTTATATATCTGATATTTTTAAAGAACGCGTAGTTATTATGTCAAGTCCTTATACTGACAGATATAATCCAATCTATCTTTACAATTACAATTACGATTGATAGGGCACCTTGTTTTAACTGTTCTGGCGATTTATCTTCTGTTTTTCTGTAATTCAAACTCCATTAACAAAACCATGTTAATGGGAATCAAGAATCATGCATGGATATCAATTATTACAAGTCTGGTAATCTTTAAAGGGGCCATAACGGTTAAAAAAAATCACCATCACAGAAATTATAACACGTTCTATTCTCTAAGTGTTGGTTACAAATTAATATATTATCTAGTAAATTCAAATCAAATGTGACAACAATGAATTTTAAAAGACTTCAAAAAACTAAAAGGCCAAATATTGCAGGTCCTAATATATTTCCTATATTACTGCTCGCAAACTAGATGTTGATGTTTCAAGTTAAAAAATTATTGTGATATTTCCAATGAAAAGCACATGAACGTATAGAGAAAGACTATAATGTGCTGTGAACGACAGACGTAATGACACGTCCATTTCTAAAGATTGACGATTGTACTCTATGGATAGTGTAGTGACGTACTGTCGTTCATCAACCTCAGAGTGAGTTGAGATTAGACAATCTACTCAGGACTTACATTAGAACAATATATTGGTAAAATATGAACCTCAATACTTTTCATTTTCTTATTTTATATAATCATACCATGGATGAATATTATTTCTGAAATCAAAAGTATTAATATATTGATTTATTGCACAATATTTTTGTAAATAATGCTCTTATCTTTAACATAAAAATGTCACATGCATTCTACCAGAAAACAGCAGTCGATTCTCTAATGTATTATCCTGATATCTGACACAAAAATAACATTATGTCGCACTTGTCCTAATTTTTATTGATACATACATAAACCTTATTCTTATATTGACCTACATAACCAAGGAATGAACATGTGTTGCTGTGTAACAAATAATTACAGGAAGGCACTACGTCTACCTACCGAGTCCTGGGATGTCCTTGCTTATCAGTATAAAGGTTGACTTTGGAGATACGTCACAACATAGATAATTATGGTAGCTGATTGGTGCCAATTTCTTACTTTGTTGTGAAATAAGAATAAACTTACTATAAGGCCCTTTTGAACCTAACAGTCATTTAGACCAAGTTTACCATAGTGTGGCAGTGTAACTACGTACGGACGACTGTGGTGGCAAAAATACATTTTAAAATAGTAAGTATTTGAAATATCATTTAATTATTTTAAACGATAATGTTAGTTAACTTTTACAGAATTAGTATTTTCGTATTTATTGAAATATATATAAATAGATAAAAGTAAAATTGACACTGCCACAATAGTATGAAAGATTTTTCTAATAAATATTGTACTCCATATCGCATTGTCGCCGTACAATAATTCATAGCATTGATGCACTTCCCGAAACACAGAGACAATCGTCAAGCAATACCAGGCGTTTTTATTCTATTCTTTAGTATATATAGTCTTGGAAATCGTCAAATAATACCTGTGTTGATTTATCGCCAGAATCCCAATGTCGTAACTGGTGGTAACTTTAATGAGCAACATGCAGGAGGACCGATGCATTACATTTGAAATAAGGATAAAGTGTCTTGCCCAAGGACACAACCGCGTCAGAAACATAACACGTGATATTGTCTTGTATATCAGTCATAGTGGCGTCACTACTACATGAAGTTTTTACCTGTATAACATAGATAAAGAAGCTTTTGCTCCGTATATTAAACTTAATTCATGTCGTCTGTAAAATCGTTGGAACATTGGAATATCCTATCCTCCTGACAGTGCCATACTCCATCCCAAACCTGAGATTTTGAGTTTCTGTTTTTTCAAAGGAATGCGCAAAGTTGTATAAGAATGTGTTTGTGATTTTTAGTGGAAGCCTATTTCGTGAAAAGTTACATTGGATTCAAGAGCCAGAAACTTAACTATTCACCAGAATGATTGAATTTCTGGTTGACAATATATATCTCCGTTAAATTTAATTGCAAGATCTTCCAGCAGTTTTGGAATGCCCATGTGAACTATGTATTAAAAGGCGTACTGTCTATAAAGGATGCGTTTCTCGGTTCCCTTTGGAATTTATTTGATAGTAATTGAACCTCTATATAAAATCCATCTGTGTATAAAGTTCGCTTTTCTCTGTTTCCTTGAGTGGCCTTTATAGACGGGTTTGACTGTAATAGTGCTTATCTCATGGGGCTGGTTTTAAAGTGCAGATGCCAATCGGAATTAGAAATTAAGGACGGGGCAGACTTTTCTACAATACCTCACTACCTCTACCGCTATGTTCAAATCAGGGAATATTTTCAAGAAAAATTTAATAATAAGCTTTTATGAATTTTCCATTTCTAGATTGTAGCCTTCTACTTCTCCGTTGCTTAGCGTATGCATATCACAGTTGAAATTTGTGTGTCTTTTCTTAACGACAAAATTTCTATAATGAATGTAGACAGTTAACAGAAAAAATGTAAAACACAATTGAATGAGGAAGGTTACGAGTATTACAGGAATGCCTTATTGTTTCTATCATTAATAGGATAATACTGGTTTTCGTTGTGCGATATGAAGTGTCCATGCTCGAAAGTACGTCTGAAAATTTCCGTCTAATAAAACTGGTTCTCATTTCAGAAAAATGACATTATTTGGACAGGTAAGATACAACAACATTGTAATTAGGAAAATTGAGGTCTTCTACTCTTATGGATATACATGTACAACGTAGCAGGTACATCATACATGTACAAAATACAAGCAAAAGACAAGCTACTTGTTTTTGTTTTAATTTTTCAAACACAGTTTAACAAATTACAACTATACAAAATCAACCAGCAACAGCATCCAAAAAGACAATCCCGTCATCGTAGCACCAATAGATTCAAGCAAGACAGTGAAAAATCTTTCCACAATTACACTTTCGGACAGAACGTTACACATTTAAGACTGATATGTTTAGAGGTTCATGGAATGTGTTCATTAATCTCAAGTTGGCAATACAACATGTTCGTCAAAATATATATATAATCACAGACAAAACAAATTTACACTCTAAAACCAATTTTTTCGGCCACTGTCGTCAGAAACTGGGTATCACTTACATGTCACAAAGATAAATTTACAGTTGAATCTCATTAAAATTACAAGGAAAGAAGTGCGTGTTTAACAATAAATTCGGCATGAACGCAAACCGGTTATAACAATATAACAAGAAGACTACTAATATTATTGTAACCGATTTGTGTTCATAACGACGTTGATGCAAAATAGCTTCGTTTGGTAGGTTCCATTACATTTAGAATTTAAATGTCAATTTTAATGCTTAGATTCTAATATGGCGTCACTCTGACTCTGACGACGTCATGCCCCAAGTACGCCAGTGGTAACCGCTGTATTTATACCACACATGCCATCTCCACGTTTGATCCTGAAGTAACCACTTTCGCCCCATTTGTGGCCCCATGAATTTTTCACAGTCCAATAATCGGTGGTTTCAAAAAATCCTTTCTCCTTGCCGTAACCCACTAGCAGCACAGCTAAATACAAAGAAAAGAAAACAAATACAAACATTTTATAAGGTAATGCTTAACTAGCAAACTGATGGTCATAAAAAAGCTTCAGTTTATTTATCATTATCTATTTAAAAATCAAGAAAACAAAATTTGATATTGAAATAAATTTCTTCTCTTCTAAGGACACGGTATATCCTTCTTAATATAAATCACGCTGATTGTCCTATAACCTAGATTAAAAAGTCACAGTCATATTAGGGATTTCCTGTTGTCGTTCATGATGTCATCGCACAGATACATCCAAAGTTCTGAATATAATGTTATGATAAAGAAATTATGTTGAAATAATATAGTTTTTAGAGTTATCGCCCACTACATACCGTGGTCGAGTCTCGTCTTTGAACAGAAGTAGGTTGAGAAAACTCCTCTGTGGTAGAACTGTAACAATTCGGCGTCTAGGGCAACTGAAAGAGGGCCAATCTGAATCAGCTGCTTAGCAATCTCAGTCTCGTTCTGAAAGTAATGATGTTAAATCACATGATATATTAAAGTGATCCTGACAATAATAGTTTTTTTTACTTCTTAACCGTATGCTGTATGATGTTCTCATATGCTTTGAATAAAAGAATTAGGTATCTTATCTAAAATTACATTTGTGACTTCACACACTTTAAAGCCCTTTGTATCACCTACAACGAGTCCTACAAAGTCGCAACCTCTGTATATTACAGTTTGACTCATTATTTGGTTCTACTGTAACTTATTCTAGAAAGATTCTTTTCGCATGCTTGTCTCTTCTATACTGTAGATGAGACACACTGCTGATGTACTAGTCCTCGATGCCGTAATATGCAAGTTATGTTTTACTTCTTTTGAATAATAGCGCGGTTCACAATATATTCATAAACTTCTTTTAAAATCATTCAATCTTGAATGTTTTGAAATTAATTTAATTTCAGTGTTCACCTTCCATATAAAATTAACGCAGTTATGGTTTTAGCCTAGCACTTAATAAATTACTTGGATTTTCCTTCATCGCCTCGTATTTTTTGTAACTTATAATTTTATTCAATTCAATTTATTAAATACAAGAAGGGCACATAATGAAATAATATTCACTTTCACACATACGCCTCTGCACACATATGACATAGAAATATTTTTGCACATCTCTAATCTTATAACAAAATCACACAAATATCGCCAGTATATTCATTGATATATCTCTAGATGTGTGTAAACACTTGAATACACACACATAAGACGTACATACATGTAACTTTTAATAATTTTGATCTTTGTGTGACTGACTGGTCATAGAAAGAAGAAACACTTTTATGCAGTTTATTGTCACTCGTAGAGAAGAATAGTATAATACAGGTTATTGTATACCAATAGAAGTTATTGATACAGTCCATGTAAAATTAGTGTAAGGTCACCATTGCATATTAAGTTTTCAATTACTTAATTATACATACATATGATTAACATTGTCCATGGTGGGTGTTTATACTTTCCTACATTTAGAGGTGATCTTTGTCAAGGATATCAACAAACCTTTCAGATTTCCAGTATATTATGTTGTGAAGTGTTGGTAAACTATGTTTTGTATTATCAAAAAGATTGTACAATGACACACAAGTGAAAAGCACCTTTTAATACACATTTATAATTACAGTAGAGCTTAACAATGAATCAAACTGCATCATACAGCTGTTTTTCCTTCTAAGACTCATCAGTGATGTTAAGGGCCTAATTCTTGAAGCCTTAATGGCGACTGAGGTAAAAGTATTAGTACACCCCCATTAAATAGAATCTGTTAGAAGAAATGACCTGTAAACTTTATTTTTGAGCGGTTCGGTATTTCAATATTTTTGTGGATGGATTACAAGCACGAAAAAAGACCTATTGAAAATAAAATAAAATTTGTAAAGCAAGGTCTGTTTGATCACTTTCATGAAAAATACGACCAGAACCTGCATAACACGTTTTTAATTCATTCGAAAAGTGTCAGGGTTCAAAATATGCAATGTACGTTCCTTTAAAGTAATTACATTTACGATATTTCTTGAATTATGGGGCTAGTGCGCCCTTCCATCAAGATTTTGACATTTCTTTCTATCGATTTTGAATTTCTTCAGTAGCCTCATAAGTATAAAACTTCATGCGCTTAGGACAAAAACAGCTGCATGATGTATTTTACATCATTACCTAGCTCTAATGTATCTAATTCTAAATTTATATTGAGAGGTGCTATTCACTTGTGTCTCTTGTTCAGTCCCTAAGTATGCTTTAAGCATGGAACCATCGTTAATAACAACCTGTACATAGAGGTTCTACAACGAGTGGTAGTTGATTATCATCGTTATCTAACCCGAGTTAGTTAATTTTCAAATTTAGAAAAGACACGAGGCTTTGCCGGATAAGAGTAGTGCTTCTTCGCGGGAAAATGTGAATGCAGACACGATTAAAATGGCGTGTAATTCCGAAAACTTCTAATCGCCTTCATCAGAACTGTACATCACCATTGGCCGTTTTCGAGAGAAAGATTTATTATTGCGAATGGTGATGTTTATTGTGCCTCCATACACTGGACCATCGATGTTATTGTCGGAAATGGGGCGGGGTTCAGCGGTAGGCCTAGTTGAGACAATGACGATAGGGTCAAGGGAAATGTCAAACCTGTATCTTGATTCCGAAATGGACCTTGCCAGTCTCCAACCTAATATCAAAGGTTGGGAAAATAAGTTTACTGCATTTACCAATAACTATCCCTTTTCCCCCTCCACACAGGTTTACCGCATCACCGATCTTGACCGCCGGCAAGAATGACAGATCGTCACTGTCAGCCATGTTGATGATGGACAGCAGACTATGACAACAATCGCACGTGGCGAAAGTAGTTCGGGGTCAAAGATCATGGTTGGGTCAAATTTCAATGCCTCGTCCAATAGATTTGGCTGTCACCAATATTACACGTGTGTATTATGCGTATGAATAAACAATGGATATGATATTTAAGGAATAGTCTGGGCGTGAGATAACATACGCAGGTTATGGTAGAAAGTTCTGTAAATAAAAGCCCGACAACATGTTATATCACTGATGGTTACCTCACTGATGGCTTTCCATGTGTTGACCTTAAACCCGGAAACAAACTTTGACCTGTCCAGCTTGTCGACACAACTTTGACTCATATTACAGTACGGGATTGGTGGACCACACAGGCTGGTGTTATAACCGGGGGCCGGGCAAACTTCACAAGTCCCTGGGGCTCCACCAAGGCCGGAGCAGTACCAGTAATCCTCCCATGTCTCTAGACCACCCTGGAAAAAAACCCATACAATCGTGTTTTGTGATCTTAGTTGATAAAGATTATGAGGAAAGTTTACGGTCGTCATAACCATCTCATGGGGAAATATTCTCTATTTTTTGTGTAATATGAAATCTGGTGTTTGAATGCTTGGTGGTTTCATTATTAATGTTCTTGTTCTGAATTGCAACATGACGTTACTTACTTTTTTAATATCTGTTCATATTTTGTCCTATCACCTTTTGGTATTTTAATTTGCATCGTCAGGTTTTAAATTAAACTGAACAACAAGCATTAAAACCAACAACATGTCCTGATTTTTAACGCTTTTGTGTGACGTGACAGATAAAGCCGATTGCAAATACAGAGTATATTTTTTCATATCAGTATTAAAGAAAACTTCAATTTGGTATTAAAAAAGGAAAAACAGTTGTAATACTATTCTCATTGTACTTTTAGTATAGTATCCGTGTATTTTTTTTCTTTTGATAATATTTTGAGTTTGGATAATGAATATGTGGATATATTAGTATTGACTTGATGTTGTTTAATGCTATCAGTTCTTTATGTAGATATGGTTATTATGACAAAGGCATTATTTGCACATTATGGACTTCACATGAAGGTTAATCTACCAATCAGTTGTATATTATTTCACAGAATTAGTTCATGTACAAAAGTAACATACATAAGTTTGATAATAAACAGATCAATTGTATGCATTTTAATTGTGTTTTGTAGATAGTGTAATATGTTTAGTAATGAATTGCGAGTTACCTCCCTTTGATACCTTATTTTTCTTCATTCAGTTTCAAAATATCTTCATGTTCTTTTTTCTACTCTAGCTATTAGTGATAATACCGTCTTTGGTAAAAAAACAAGCATTCATAATTAAACACGCGAAATTCTCAAATTAATTTCCATATTTGACAAAAATAGTCACATATTTCACAGCCCTGACTTAAACGTGACGTAATTTATTATTGTCAAAATAGTGCCAAAATATATTATTTATCAGCTGTAGTTTTTAACCATAAGGCTTTCCACAACATTCAGCTCACAGAGATTGTCTCTGTCTTTGAACCCTAAATTTGTGTTTTCATGGAGTACTCACAGCTAAAAAGTTGTCGTGTTTTATAACACGAATTAACACATATAGACCTGAAAACTAAAAGGAAAGGAATGGGAAATAAAAGTTAATTAAATACCGGATACAACTCCATCAGTCTTAAAGACATTCTCTCCCTTTGTGTTTTGTTCTACAGAGGACATTATACCACTGGGGATAGTTTCGACGGCTATATATGGCCCCTTATATATCTAAGTCCGTCTAAGAATCAAACATATACTACACATTCATTGTGATATGACTTATATGCAGAAATAACAAAAATACTTAAATAAAACTTACTGCTTTCATGATATATTGGTAAGCTAGGTACGGCCATCCTCCAAATACTCCACAATCAGCATTCCCCCTTAAAAATATATAACGTATTCGTTTGTCACTGACATAATCGTCATCAGGATGTGTTGGTGGTGATAGTGTGTTAGTTACAGACAGATGTAAGGGCATGCTCTTTCTCAACACAAATATTAAGGCGTGTATGTAAGGACTTGTTTCTCTGGATGGTATCGGACAACGAAGATTTTCACCTTCAGTGTCAGTGACATGTAAACTCATGTAAACTTTATAACTCGAATATCCAATGCAAATCTGATTTTTTATCTTCCTATAAAATACACGCAAGTGAATAACATCTTTCAATATCAAACTAGAATTAGATACAGTAGAGACAAACAATGAATTCAACTGCATTATACAGTTAATTCGTCCTTCTAGGACTCGTCAGTAATGCTTTGCCTTTAGCTGTGAAACCTAGGCGAGTGAGGTAAATTAATATAGATTAATGATATACAAAATCAGATTTGAATGCTCACTACCTCCATAGTTAAATAAAGGCAAAGTGTCCAAACTCGACATGGGACTAGATGTCACGTTGGTTTAGCCCTTTGTACAGTTAAATACTTGATTTCAGAGGAATCATTTCCTTCATATTTTCCCCTGAAAATCTTGCTCATGAATTATCATTTTTCTGATATTTAATTAAATGAAGGGGTCTTTGATGAACCCATTGCAGTGAGAATCTTTCTTATTCTTTACTGTATTGGTTTACTTACAAATCTGTTGAGATACATTTCTTCCTTGTAACTAAGGATTTTCTCACATTTCAAACATTTTCGTTGTAAATTCTCTAGTGATTTAATGCATTCAAAAAGTTACCCTTGCGGTGTTTAAATTATAATTCTGAGTTTCAAAACAAAGCGGTACTGATGACGTCATACCCCTTGACATCCTCCATTCCATCGCAGTCCACAACTTGCTCTACAGAGAAGTTCGTTAATTGCTTTCCAGCCATCGCCCACTGTCCCTCTAAATTTCCAATAGTGCTGTAAAGGAATTACGTCTTAAGAGCTGCTCATTAATTTTTTCATGCAAACAACAAATTCATGTTTGGTAATTTCGACAATATCGTTTTCGCTCATGGTAAAAGCACATGTATACTGACATTAAATTTTGCTTTCTAGTGAATTTTTGGCGGAAAATATAAGTATGAGAAACAGAATATCTGCAAGTATGTTGTATCGATACTTATTGTCAAAGAACATTATATTAGTATTAAGTAGTTCTTGTATATTTCTATGAATAAATTAAATGTTGATTTAAGTTTTTATGTTACAATACTGCATCGTACGCAGAGCAACTATATCTTTTAATTCAAATACAAATAACATTTTTTATTGACAAATGGCTGCAATTTGCGGAAAATTCCTTCGGTATATACCCACCACTGTCAATAAATTAATGTCAGTATAATACCATACCTAAATGCCCAGCATGATCCGGCGGAACCTACAGTGAGAAATACATAATAACAGTACTTAATATACTAAATATCATGTCTACTTTCCTGAAGATAACCAAATATAGAGAACATATCAGAATAAGAATTGTTTTTTTTCTCCGTGACATCTTTGATTTCGGTATATAATGTGAATGATATTAAGCTAATACAAAACTCGTCAATTACATGTGGTATGTAGTTCGGAATGAGATTTATCAGTTTGGTATAGTTATATTTAAGGAGATGTTATGTTTAGCACAATCAGTTAATCGAAACTGTATATAATAGGCGGAATGCCTGGAACATCAGCTGTCCCTCAGAATACCTGCAGTATGAGTGCTATTGGGATGAAAATGCGTTCAGACAATTTGACAGCTGACTTTACACTTTCGTCCATTCGCTGAATAGTAGACTGTCATCAAGGCTCAGTCATTTGCACTTTTTGCTTACTAAGAAAACTGACGTTTTCGAAAGCTCGCAGGTTTTAATAATCGTTTGTGCTTAAGATAAAACACCTTCTTAAAACATATGATATAGGCGATATGTAGTTGTAACAATACGAGGAACTGAGAGAAGATCTTGCATCTTTCCAAACCTCGAGATACCAATAGATAGATAAAATTGTCAACTAAACTACATAGCATTTTCTTAGCAGTATGCACCTACAATAACATACACGTAGTTATCGTAACAATCTAGTACTTTCGATTTCAACCAACCTTGGTCTTTGACACTTGTTACCATGTTTTTGGATCGCCAATCAAATGATTCCGGCAACGGATCGACCTGTTCTCGTCTGATATACCTGTCAACAAAGGTTATACCTATCTATTTTCAGTATAAATCTCTAATATGACTTAAAGTTTGATAGATTTTCATTCTACTGAATATCTCCACTGTATCAGTGTATTGTATAGCTATGAATAAAACAATGAAAATACCAACATGTCAAAATAACCATAAGTCAATTTCAATAAAACAAAATATGAAAAAAAGGTAGTAGAGGTAATTCAGTTTCAGTTTCCCGAATCTACAGATGTCTCTGTTTCTACAGACTATCAACAATTTCTTATTTCAATTTTCAGTCTGATTCTTAATCATCTTTTAAAATCTTACCTTTCAGATTCGAACTTTGGTGGTACACGTTTGGGCATAAGGATCGTCGACCGGAACTCCGCTGGAGACATGTCGGCAAAGTGATTCAGAGCAAATTCGGGACTCCCCCTGGAAATTTTGAGAACACGCACACAGATTGAGTTCTACAGTAAATGATTCATAAAGGAATTTGTGATTTCATGGAGGGTCGTTACAGTAGAAATTCGAAAAGGGAACAAGAAGATACGAAATCTATTATATAAACAATTTATACTCAAGCATCTAACGAGGTCTAAAAAGGAAAGCAATGATTTATTATAATGCCGGGGTTTACTGGACTTGAGCTAGTTGTATTGTGCAAAATACGCATTTACCCTAGGTATGTTAACATGTAATTCGCACCTCAGATTTCTCGTTCTAACTTCACAGTCGGAAATTTTAAATGTGTTAGAAACTTTAAACATTATCCCCCGAATACGTAAGTTTAGTGTAGTAACTGGCGACAAACAACAGCCAGCAAATATTTTACTTCTTATGTCCCTTTTTTAATTTTCTTTTTTAAATGATAATTAATTATAGATTTCGGGAACAGTATTTATAATCCGCTTCACCAGACTCAAAAATAGCATTTGGTTATAAATATGAGTGTCCACTTTAACGACACTAGTTCACCAATTAGCTTTGAAATTACAAAACAAATAAGTTTACGCAGTATTTTCAAGTAAGTTATTCTACTACTTTGAAAAGCTACATATCACATTTATTATACTTACTTGTGAAGGACATTCAGTTTGTTGATATGTTTGAGGTTTTCCATGAACACTTTAAATTTCCGGTTTTCCACTCTCATACTTGGATAAGATATTCCATGTTCGTATTTCCATGCTCTGAAATATTACAAATAGCAATACATTAACTTTTCTGTATAAATAATTTATATCTTTCTGTTACATATTCCTTGCTATCAAGTTTTAACAGATCTCAAATTACTAGAAACTTGTACGATCGTTCTTTTGACTATGAGGTTATATGTAAACCTGGTAAAGTGCTAGCCTCAATATACTGCTCGGCTAGAAAGAAATTCTCTTCATCTCGATCGGTTGAGGTCCGACTTGTAAACTAGAGGTCCCTGGTTTGAATGCCAATGGAGGCATTTAAATAAATAATGGCTTCTGTTACAATGGCGCCCATGTAGAGACACGGGAATAATACTAGCGTTACTTTCATAAGTATTACTGTAACCCATGGAAACTTGAATTATGTCCTGGAGGGGAAGTGTGTAACTCTGGTAAAATGCTAGCTACAATATAGCACTCTGTTGGCGATCGGTTAAGGGTCAGACTAGCAAACTAGAAGTCCCGGGTTAAAATGCTAGTGGATGCAATGAATTAAATAAAAACCTCTGTTATATATACATATAAATATATCACACACGACCTCTAGATTGCGGACTTCTGATATGAGTACAGAGTTTTGAGTCTAATCTCACTGACCTGAAAAGATACATTCCTCTGTCGATGTCCTCAGGATACATCCATGTTCTAGAAACGAGAACAACAAACAGTGTTTTGAAGTTTACATATATATATACATATTCTACAAAAGAGTCTGGTAAATAAAAAAGAATATTGACTCAGTCAATTGCGGTAATGATTAACTGGTGACGTAATCAATTAATTTCCTTTTTTGACTTTGACTTTTTCTGGTGTCAACATATTAAGATATAATAATAAGGGTGTTTTTGTATCTCTGTGGTGTGTTTAGTATTTTATATATTATCTTTTCATCACATAATCGACCAGCTTTTCGTACATGTCACTGAAGTAACATACCCTGGAGCGTTTTTCATTGGCTGTATTAGTCAGAAATCAATCGTGATAACAAAATAATCGTAATAACGAGGATATAACTGATGAAGATCTTTGTTCCAGTCCGTGGTAAGCATTTTTATGTGAAGGACGGTAAATTCCATTTTCCACACAACTACATATATGAGATTGTTGTTCATTTTTTAAGTCTTTATTATTTTCTCCTGTCAACCAAAGAGCGCCACTTTGGTGTATAAATCATCCCTCGTCACTGGTTGTCTTTCTTAATTTGTTGGGAGACGTAACGTGCTGCTCTACGCTCCTACATTTCAGTTTTGTTTACCTTATGTTGGAATTATAGGTCCCAGATTGACATAAACATACGTTACAGAAGGTTTTACTAGCAGTGGATATATGCGTTATATCATAGTATGCTTAATTTTTATAAAGATTCAGACCCGAATTTGAAAATTCTTCTTTGAAATGCTAATACAGGATCGTTATGTGATAAATAGCCTCAATTATCCCCAAAACAAAATGGGACTCGTGAACAAACCTGTGTCAAGAAAGAAAAGGTAATTATGAAACATTTAACTACAGTGTATTTACGAATATAAAACTCTTGTACACAAATATATCAGGTATACTGAGCGATGACCGCTGGCCAACAGCCGAGAGCAACTGGTACGCTTTTTTGGTAGGCGCTCAATACTGGGAGTCACATGTAAATCGAAAGTAGGTCAATTCAGATGTAAACAAATGCATTTGATATAAAATAGAGTTTTCCGTTTATCTGCACCGTCACAACCCTGGAAGCTGAGTGATTGATATATAACTTAATGCTACTTATATACATTAAGGCAGGTTAAATACATGTAAAACGATGTATGTAAACACGGATCTCCGAACGACGTAGATGTGTAAACAAAGGAGCTGCTAATGTCATTCTCACTTACTTGGCAAAAGATACCGCTGTGACGGCAAGAAAACAGACGAGATAGTTTAGACACCCGGCCATATTGACAAACCCGACACAATTAAATGTCAGTATACTGTGTCTTCTCGATTTATATTGCAGTCACACGTATTTAGTCAGCTGATTTCACCCGAGCAGAGTCCAAACGATTATTAAGTGTGTAAGGTGTGAGGGGAAAGTTTACTCCTGATAAATAGTGCCCGCCTGAACATTTTCATGTTCATTGCTAGATACTAAAATATTTATTAATATAATCAGTACATGAGTTCAAAATTAGAAGTTAGGACAAAGTACGTTAATAATAATGAAATTTTGACACTTGGAAATCAATTTAAAGGATTATGTAATGCAAATATTGACATATTTAGTTAAATTTTGCAACTTCTATTAATTAATAGAAATGTTAAACATCATTTTTACATATATGTATTACTTAGGGCTTAAGCTACTTATGTGCAATTTATATTTTATGTAAGGATATATTCAAAACCTTAACAATTGTTTATAGAAATACGAGGATGGAGTTTGAAGTGGTATATAATATAGAATATTTATCATTGTCTCATATCTTCTGATGTGTTGATAATTAATATCTGTGTTAATACTGGGAACCAAAAGAGAGGTTTTTAAATTGAAAAGGAAACAAAGAAAGAAAATATTTTTGTTATAGTAGACAATGATATCATCATTTAACGTACAGAAAATCTAAAAGTAGTCAATGACATACTTTTTATGTACAGAAATTTTTTTTGTAAAAGTGAGCAATCATATAACATTTAACATACAAAAAAAATTTGTAACAGCAGACAGTAATATTTTTGAAAACAAAAAGGATTTTGTAAAAGAAGAAAAGGATTCCCTTTATTAGAAGTTGGTCGATTGTTAAAGGTGAATTTTTGTTGCAGTTAAAACATTAATTTGAACAAGGTAAAAAAATTCATCCAAAATCATCTTGGATGATTTCAGTTTCGCACTTTCCTAATCAAAGAATTAGATTATTTATTTATTTACTTACCGATTGGAAAACAAAAATAAACAATACATTTTTGTCCAAATTTAGTGAGATGTTTGCCACCCTAGAATAACTACAAGATCACATCGTTGCCACAATCATTACCTGTGTATTTACCTTCACCCATAACATATAGCTTACAGGATTTCCTGATGTGGAACTGTCACTTAATATAGGGGAGATAAGCCTTGTGTTTATCCGTTAGGACAACGAAGAAATACTTGTTGACCTGACCTTGGCGTGTTATGTTATAGTTAGTACATATAATAAATAATAGAATACTAAATATTTACTGATGTGTTACGTCATTGTCAATATTATGACGTCACAATCGGTTTTTTTTACTGGCGCAACTAATGAAAAACGTTCTGCGGTATATAACACTAGTGACATATTAGCAAATACATTGTTTTGTTATACATGGGCGAATTCAGACAGATTGTTTGAAAAATAATTATTTTATTTCCTCATTTGCAGAATGCCAAGATTTCTTTACACAGAAAAAATACTACATAAAATACTTTTAACCATTCTTCATTCGTGAAGGATACGGATTTATTTCTAGTTCCCTTGTTTGTAAAACTTGGTTAGATGTCAATGACCTTTTCAAAAAGTGTAACACTTCTATCAAGCCATACGGCGATACTCTGTTCGATCATCTTTTAAATATGATATTCACGATAAAATGAAATATCGGTTAAGATAAAAACAAACAAAAAATAAAAAGCTATTATGCTCACTAAAAATATCAAAAGCAAACGTATTCACGTGCAATGTGAGCTCTCTCTCGTCCGTCAGTTTTTCCTCGTCCTATCCGCTATTTCTGTGATAAACGGTAAATACAAATCGATTAAATGTTTTCAAATATCCTCTACTTATTACACAACAAACACGGGACCTATCAAAATGCTGTTATAGAACTTGTGCACGAGACAGCGTTTCACACCATTCGTGATTGTCCATACGTCACGATGGAAATGATATCAAACTTTCGTATTAATGGGCAAACACCAACACCCCGATAACACTATTATAGTACCACGTCACTGAATACTTCAAGCTGTGCATTCCTCTTTTGTTTGCCGTCTCGTGTAAACAAATAATGTTAATTTCTTCCTGGCTGAAACCTCAGTAAATAACGCATTTTCGAAATTAAAAGAACAATGCATATCGCCACGCCCCCGCTGACATTTGTAAATGACTCTATAAACGTGAATTGGTTCGAGATTATAATCCATTTTGTCTCAAACTGCTACAATGGTATGTGTGTCCAGCTTCGTCTTGTTGGAAATTTCCTGTATGCTGACCTTGTTTGGTTTCTCCTGGCTACACCTGGCGGAAGGTAGCAGGGACAAGATTGACTGTTCTCCTAAGGTACATGTAACAGAATTTAAAGTAACAGGAACACGATTGACTGTTCCCTAAGGTAACTGGACGTAAGGTAACAGGAACACGACTGACTGTTCCTCATAAGGTAACTAGATGTAAGGTAACAGGAACACGACTGACTGTTCCTCATAAGGTAACTAGATGTAAGGTAACAGGTACACGACTGACTGTTCTCCTAAGGTAACTAGATGTAAGGTAACAGGAACACGACTGACTGGTTCCCATAAGGTAACTAGATGTAAGGTAACAGGAACACGACTGACTGGTTCCCATAAGGTACATGTAACAAGATGTAAGATAACAGGAACACGACAGACTGTTCCCTAAGGTAATTGGATGTGAGGTAACAGGTACACGAAGGACTGTTCCCTAAGGTAACTAGATGTGAGGTAACAGGTACACGACTGACTGTTCTCCTAAGGTAACTAGATGTGAGGTAACAGGTACACGAAGGACTGTTTCATAAGGTAACTGGATGTAAGGTAACAGGTACACGAAGGACTGTTTCATAAGGTAACTGGATGTAAGGTAACAGGAACACGACTGACTGTTCCTCATAAGGCAACTAGATGTAAGGTAACAGGAACACGACTGACTGTTCTCCTAAGGTAACTACATGTAAGGTAACAGAAACACGACTGACTGTTCCCTAAGGTAACTGGATGTAAGGTAACAGGTACACGACTGACTGTTCCTCATAAGGTAACTGGACGTAAGGTAACAGGAACACGACTGACTGTTCCTCATAAGGTAACTAGATGTAAGGTAACAGGTACACGACTGACTGTTCTCCTAAGGTAACTAGATGTGAGGTAACAGGAACACGACTGACTGGTTCCCATAAGGTACATGTAACAAGATGTAAGATAACAGGAACACGACAGACTGTTCCCTAAGGTAATTGGATGTAAGGTAACAGAAACACGACTGACTGTTCCCTAAGGTAACTGGATGTAAGGTAACAGGTACACGACTGACTGTTCCCTAAGGTAACTAGATGTAAAGTAACAGGTACACGAAGGACTGTTTCATAAGGTAACTGGATGTAAGGTAACAGGAACACGACTGACTGTTCCTTAAGGTAATTGGATGTAAGGTAACAGGTACACGAAGGACTATTTCATAAGGTAACTGGATGTAAGGTAACAGGTACACGAAGGACTGTTTCATAAGGTAACTGGATGTAAGGTAACAGGTACACGAAGGACTGTTTCATAAGGTAACTGGATGTAAGGTAACAGGTACACGAAGGACTGTTTCATAAGGTAACTGGATGTAAGGTAACAATTACACGAAGGACTATTTCATAAGGTAACTGGATGTAAGGTAACAGGTACACGAAGGACTGTTTCATAAGGTAACTGGATGTAAGGTAACAGGTACACGAAGGACTGTTTCATAAGGTAACTGGATGTAAGGTAACAGGAACACGACTGACTGTTCCTCATAAGGTAACTAGATGTAAGGTAACAGGAACACGACTGACTGTTCTCCTAAGGTAACTAGATGTAAGGTAACAGGAACACGACTGACTGTTCCTCATAAGGTAACTAGATGTAAGGTAACAGGAACACGACTGACTGTTCTCCTAAGGTAACTAGATGTAAGGTAACAGGAACACGACTGACTGTTCCTCATAAGGTAACTAGATGTAAGGTAACAGGAACACGACTGACTGTTCCTCATAAGGTAACTAGATGGAAGGTAACAGGAGCACGACTGACTGTTCTCCTAAGGTAACTAGATGTAAGGTAACAGGAACACGACTGACTGTTCCTCATAAGGTAACTAGATGGAAGGTAACAGGAACACGACTGACTGTTCCCTCAGGTAACTGGACGTAAGGTAACAGGAACACGACTGACTGTTCCCCAAGGTAACTAAGTAGAAGGTAGAAGGAACACGATTGACTTTTCCCGAAAGGAACTTAATGGAAGGCAGCAGGAATGAGATTGACTGCTCCTCTGAGGTAACTGGGTAGAAGATAACAGGAACATGATGAATTATTTCTCTAAGGTTACTACGGATATGTCAGCAGGAGCGTGGTTATTCTTAGAGCAATAAATCATTAATTAAATGTCATTGATCAAAAGTTCATATAACATATGATAGAATAATTGACAAATGTCAAGTTCGTTTACCATGTGCTCGAACAGTTTTTTCTATTTGATGTGGCGGTATACCATTATTTGTCTTTTTAAATGATCAGGTGTGAAACGGAGTGTTGTTTGGTCGTGTTGTGGTGCATACCAGTATCTCCAACGGTAGTGGCTAGTCGGTTTACTGGTCATTAGCGAAGGCTTCCAACTATACGTACACATCCAACTGTGTTAGTATTCTGTATATATCAGTCTGTGACCATAGTCCTGGGACAGGGGATACAGTAGTGTGTATATATCAGTCTGTGACCTTAGTCCCGGGACAGGGGATACAGTAGTGTGTATATATCAGTCTGTGACCTTAGTCCCGGGACAGGGGATACAGTAGTGTGTATATATCAGTCTGTGACCTTAGTCCCGGGACAGGGGATACAGTAGTGTGTATATATCAGTCTGTGTCCTTAGTCCCCGGACAACGGGTATAGTATATATCAGTCTGTGACCTTAGTCCCGGGACAACGGGTATAGTATACATCAGTCTGTGACCTTAGTCCCGGGACAACGGGTATAGTATACACTAGTCTGTGACCTTAGTCCCGGGACAGGGGATACAGTAGTCTTTATATATCAGTCTGTGACTTTAGTCCCGGGACAGGGAGATACAGTAGTCTGCATATATCAGTCTGTGACCTTAGTCCCGGGACAGGGGATACGGGAGGGGTAATTTCCTCATGGTTAAGGAAATCGTTCCTTTTAGTAAGATGAGGATTGCCCTAAATCTAATTGAGAATTCACACGAAATCAAAATAGGTGTTAGAAATTTCATACCGGAGAGGTTGCCAAGTTTGACATGGTCTCAAAGTTAAATTTCTACAACTTTGGAAAATAGGTAGACTGTCACCAAATCAGAAGTCGATCTTCATCTTATCATTACACTACTTACATACAATATATACTGTATTATAACGGAATGACAGAATTACGCATAAGATGTGAAGGATTAGCCCCGCCCAATTCATGACGTGGTGATACAAGAACAGAAAAAAGTAATGCAAATTTACGACATATTAATTCTGAATTTTCGTCATTTATTCAGTCAAGTTGAAAGGATTTCATATATAAACAGACTGAGATAATCAACACAGTGCTTACTTTTCAGACTCACAAGATCTAGAACATTATACATATATATGACCAATCGATTGAATTGAAATGCTAATAACACCTGTTGTATCTTTGAAGTTTCGGGGTTGTTTTTTTGTTTGTTTATATATTCTACCTTTTGTTTCCACAGATGGGTCACCCTTGTACAGTATACACATATCATGGTAAGATTATCGTTTACAAAAGTATACAGACTTTCCTTTAATAACTGAAGTTTCATAAACATGGATTTTATATAATTATGTATATGTCTTCTCTATTATACAATGGTTGATATGTTTTCAGGTGAACAGGAGAATTTGTTAACCCAAGAAGCTGATATTTCCAGAGGTCGTTAATTGGTTAAAGATATAACGACAATCATATATCATAAGAGTGCGACATAATTATCTCGAGTGCTCGACATATTTTCTCTGTTTACTTTATCATAGGATATGTTACGACTGTACGATGGTAAGTAAAATTCTTCACATCATGTTTATCAATTAGTCAGTATTGCTTTTTAAGCGCCACGCTTTCATATGTAGCTGTAAATAGTATATAAAAGTTAAAATGTGATGTTCTGGCGATGTCGAGTTATCGAGATAATTTGTCGAGCTCTCGAGAAGTGAAACTGAATGCTCGACATTAAGTCATTAAGTCGAGCGTTTGGAATAATATTGAAATGTAGGGAAGTTCGAGGGCTCGAGATAATTTGAAAGTTGAGCGCTCGACTTAACTTCTCGACTACTGAACATTACTCAAGATAACTACAAATTTAATATACACGTAGAAGATGCTTTTGTTTATGTCCGAAATGTACCACCGTAGTTTTGACAAATCAGCATGTAGGATATGACAGTTATGTAATGAAGCTATTACATTGTATTTGATTGCAGCGGTTCTACTGAGTGAATAAAGAGATATTGTATTATCAAAATCCCTTCTTGACACGCCAGTGGTTACGGTCACTTTCGCTCTTTGCACCCTTGGAACGTTTTATGGCAAAATTGACTTGATTACAAAGGAGAGACACCCGACATTAAGGCCAGTACAACATACCGTTATACGTCTTGTCCACCAGGTGTCGCAGATGGAACTTCCAATTTTGCAATGAAATGTTCCAAGGGTGCAAAGAGCGAAAGTGATCGTGACCCCTGAAGTATCGAGGATGTCAAAAATCCCGTGTGTTTTGTTTCACACGTTGCTGTGATTTAACAATTTTTTTACCCAGACTGTGCAGCCAGAGCGTTCGAGTCGCGCCATAAAGATCTTTTTACTGGTCTGGGACGTGCGGTACCTCTGAAACTTAGTGTACACCAGTCAAGTATCGGAAGTGGTGACAACAAAACTGACCGCCCAGGAATAACTGTGTTCTGGTGGCCACTATCCCACAGTAAGTATATATCTTAGTGGCCACTTTCCCACAGTAAGTATATATCCTGGTGGCCACTATCAGACAGTAAGTATATATCTTAGTGGCATTCTCCATCGGTAAGAATACTCCGGTGGCCACTTTCCCACAGTAAGTATATATCCTAGTGGCATTCTCTATCATTAAGTATACTCCGGTGGCTACTATCCCACAGTAAGAATATATTTTAGTGGCATTCTCCATCGGTAAAGTATATCCTGGTGGCCACCACCCCACAGTAAGTATATATCTTGGTGGTCCGCGACATCCTCAATACTTTAACGGTCACGCCCAGTATCGCTCTCTACAGCCCGGGAACATTTCATGGCAAAATTGAAGGTTCCGTGAGCGCCAACTTGTGGACACAACAAAAAGCCTGGTTTGACCTTGGTCACTCTCGGCCCTTCCATCGGCTGTCCAGCTTATCGCTTTACAAGTGAGGGGGTCTGTGCTTTCCAGGAAACTGAGAAACGGACTCGTCTATGTTGGTGTGGTTGCATCCTTGGACCAAACACTTTACCGTTATTGGTTTTGATGGTATGCGACGGACCTCTCATGTGATATTCACTGAGGTAGTGATCAGCTACAAGATGACTCCGCCTAAATGACACTGGCTGTTTACGGGGGGATAAATCCAGCAAATATACGAGCCGATGTTTAAATAATCGTTATTAGAAAAGAATACCTTTAAGTTAGATGAATGAATGGTTTAGTAGTAGCACGTATTAAATTTATATCATAAAAAGATGTATCATGACTTCACGTTTTCTTTTATTTTGAAATTGAAATGAATTATATATATTCAGGTACAGATGCATTGAAGGGTTATGAGATTTCGATGCAAGGAATTAAGGGCGTTGCTAAAGGGACTCGGAAGTGTTTTGTCATCGATACGAGAAAATCGAACGGGACAACAGATACTGAGGTATTCAAAGTTTGAAAAATACTCCAACTCCTGTTTCAAATACAATCTTCCATCAAGTATATATCTGTATTTTTAGTTGGCTTAGGACAAATGGAAAAAAGTAAAATATTGAAATCATTTATCAATAATTCGACCTATCTTGTATCAATGCCATGTTAACAGATCACGGTATTTTCAGGTAATTTACAACTTCACAATAACACCTGTCCTGGCAAACTCCGTATACCATTTCCGGATCCTGTCACTCCCGCACATGCGCAGTAGGGGTTCCTCAAATACTGCCACCGTAGAGACACGACCTGGTAGATATATCACTTTTTTTATACATGTATAACATTGCGTTTGCGTTTTTAAATTTAGATTTTGTTTTTTATTTATTTATATTTATCTATTTATCTTGTTTGTGTGTGCTTTTTATTTGAATATCCATAAACATATTTTTTTACAGATTCTAGTCGAATCGTACCGTCCGAATGGACAACACGAGTGGATTGTGAGTCGCGGTATGTCCACAAGCTGACCAAGGTATATGTGGAATATGACTTACCCCCAAGGTCATTCAAATTCCCAGGGGTCACTGTGGAGCTCGTTCTAAACGATAACATCATTTCAAAGCAACTGTCGACAAAGGTAAGTCACGATGTTAAAATAATACATTTTTTTCCAGATATACTTTCATACAGACAAATATGATATATTGATAATTCTAACTAGTTTTTCATTAATTTGATAAGTCTGGGTTTGAGGGATTTACGTTGCCTGCTAATTTTGTGTGGTTCTATATACAGCAACTATTTAATATCACATCTTTAAAACAAAAGACGGTTACTCTTCTGGAACACCTGATCGTATCATCAATGATTTTTTTAAGAGTCTCAATGTTAATATACCAAGCGGTCATATTAAATACTCCTTTCATCAATTTTGATAATATCCTAATCATGATTTGATGTTCGGTAGTTCTCGACTGACGATGAAAATTTATCATTATAACGTCAAATCATTCACAGATTTAGCTCTGATTTGTTTATTTATTCTTCTATACAGCCTTTCCATTTATTTGAGACCACGAAACATGGGAATTATCAAGTTTGGGTGAGTGACTTCTACACTGATAAAGTTTGCTAATTTGTTTTTGATTTGGGGAATTTTTTGACCTCATCATTATATGATAATCATGGGGTAGAGTTAGTATTTTGATTTTGTTTGTTACTTTTTCCATTTTGTGTTGTTTTTGGTGTTTGATTTTGTGTTTTTACTCTTGTAGATGTATCAAAGAAAAAAACAATAACTTTTGTTTAAATTAATAATATCTTCGTTGTATATATTGTACATATACCGGCTTTAAATGATAAAAAACCCATTTTCATTGATATGCTTAATTTTATAATTCATAGCCATCGTGATGAATCAAATCATTATGACGTATAACTGTTAGTTTTTGTGTGAGATTTTATTCATAAACAACATTGTAAACTTTTTATATTTATAAATACATATGTATAGAGTATATAAATTATTCACTCATTTTCTTCTTGTTTTATAATCTATCACTTTACCACTCATTAGCATTGTGAGGCTGATCAATTAATGGGCGATGACAAACATAAGCTACAAGCTTGCTGTCATATCCCTTCTCACCTCTGTTTATTTTGTGTCTTCTCCACCTTGTATTTCATAAATAAATAGAAACATTGAAGAAATAGTTATTTTACTATTACTGTGAATCTAGCATCAATTTATTGCACCTTTTCTCGTTAATTTTAGCGGATATGTAGAATGCTTTTCGCGAAAAATAAGTGTACGTACACAACACGGGCCAAGCGGGCCTGTTTTATTTCCGAAATTGTTGTTTACAAATTCTTAAATTCCAAAAATCGATTCCAACTAATATGCGACAGGAAGATGCCTGTTTTTTCTATTTAAATGTGGTTTGCAATGAACTTATGGGTTCATTTTTTTATAAACCACAGTAACTGTATTGTTAGTGAGATACAAGTATAGAAAAAAACAATCGACGCACCATTTTTCTGCTGTCCCAGAGTTACTTCCCTTTGTTTTACCCTGTCAGTACATGGTGATGGTATCGTAATAAACGCGCTCCATGATGCTGATGCGAAATGCTATGTAAATGTGACATATCCTCCTTATAGAAACCAGGGAATCGGTGATGACAGCGATGTCGGCAGTTCATGGAAATATTCTATCAATGGACAAGGTGTTCTTTTTATTTTAGGCCTTTACCTATTAAGCCGAAACAACAGTGAGGATGCAGTTAATTAATTCATCATTTCGATCTGCTTTATCTAATTATGATTTTTATAGAAATGTGCACATACTCAAATCATCCTGTAAGATGTAATTTCGTCATGTATTCATTTGACATGATATTTAAATGAACATTCGTTGATGTACGTAATCCAAATATACCTCAGTTATCAAATATACTTGGACACTTTCGGAAACCATTTTTCTATTTGTTCCTAAATCATTATTAAAAAGTTGAAACATTCCAACGATGTGTAAATTTTGTATTGTTTCTCTGACCAAATCGTTTCCCTTCTCGTTTCTAGGTGACACCAGAAGATCCCTTCATCTACTCACCGCGAGCTTGTCTTTGTAGAAACATTGATGATATTTGTGCAGGATCTTGTTTGACGTCATTTGGTATTTGTGACGTCATACCTAACAACGATTCAGGAATGAAAACAGTCCAAGGTAGAATAACCTTGTTCTTTTTCAGATGAAATTTCTTATGATTGTGTTTCCGGAAATATGTTGCAAATCATTTTTTCTTGAAAATACACGAGATATAGTTCATGTTTGAATGCATTTAGAAATTAACGAGCCATAGAATTCTTGTTACGGGCCCATCTTAATTCATTCCCATAATGCAAAGTAAAAATGGGGTTGACCGGAAAAGGTCATCATTACTTTTCAAAATATGTATCTTAATAACTCACTGATTATAGTATAATTTAAAAATATAAAGCTTTCATTAATTTGCTCGTTATGTGTCAGGAAAAATATATGTATATAACCAAAATCACCATGAATACCTTCCACATCTCAGCGTTGTTGTTAACAGACTCGTCCGGATTACCTAGACCACTGACTATAAGTTTTACTATAGTTGCCGTGGTTGTGTGTGCCTGCATTACTCTAGCAGTTTTCGGTTACAGACATCACAAGGGGAAAAAAGGCAAGTATTCATGTTCTAATGATCTGTTATACGTAATAATATATATAATATATATTAAAGGACCATTTCCCACGCCTCAGAGTATTCCGAGACATGCTATAGAAACTTTATTCATTTTGCAACAACTGCGACACAAGCTATCAACTTATATTAATCACTATTGCGCGGGGTTTGTTCAGGGAATCGAACCCCTGACGGCTAAGTGAAAGGCGAGTGCATTACCACTGTGCCACCCGATTAACCGTAATTTATTAATCAAAACTGAACCAATAATTAAGATTTATGTCTTAATAGACCTTTATCCAGATTCCAAATCAACCGTATTTTGTGCAAAGAGCGTTCAATATTATACTTTTTTTGATACCAGCAATAACAAATGACAGGGTTGCGGTGGGGGTTGAACATTGAGAAACAGGCCAGTCTTTGCTGACGTGGTTGAAAAATTCAGGTTTCAAAAAATTTCCGCATTCTACAGTCCGAAACCTGGCAGCGTGCTGTTCAGATTTGACCCCGTTGTATCAGAACGGTGATATCAACGGTGCCCCATCAGATCCTCCGCTATATCGAAGTTCATATTGTATAGAGTGGAATGAGAGATCTAACACCTCATACTGAAAATCGTAACTGTCTTAGAGTGACTTTGTACATCTGCCGTTTGACATTATGATTGTAATCATATTGTTTTATAATTCATTAAACAGATTGTTTATTTATAAATTCATTTTCAGGACGGAAGGATAACAAACAGCACAGTAACAACAACGCTGAACACATGTGTACTTTTGTAAAGTCGGATATTGCTGAGGAGACAGGCACGAACGCATTGTTCTCTCCTGCGAGTGTGAAATACACGGACATCGCCGACAAACCAGTTCATGGCCATATGTCGGACAGAAAAGACCAGTATTTACATACTAGGCTGATGAACGATTCGCTTAGCAACCGCGCATGCTCAGAACTGATAAGCCTGGGTGGTCAAAGTGTTTAATCTCTGTCAGATTAAACCTTGACAATCGATGAAGCAATAATTGTATGAGTAGATTAGTGAATGATTTTCGCGTCTGCGTTCCGGAAACTGTCACCTAGCTGGCTATCAATGAAATAATATTTGAGAAAATTTAATCGATTTTCAGATAAATTATACTCCACGTCAAGTTCAGACTAAAGAGCGCGTTTGATTGCTTCGTTGAAACAAAAGGAGAACGACAAAGGTTGAAATACGTCTTAACATTTTTGGAGTCGCAAGAACATTTCTTTTTTTATTATTTTAGTAAAATTCATCGTGAAAGATAAAAAAGGAGTAACGCTGATGTGCTCGTGTATCTTTCGCAAATTTATTTATATCCTTTCTGTGTTTTCAAGAAAGATATTCTATTTTAATAAACGTTCGTTTTAGTCTTTAATATCACAACGTGGCTACGAAAGAATGGTCAGAAACAGAATATCAAATGTAACACAATGTACGTAAATGAAAAAGATTTTTGCAGAAAAATAATCCACGTTATCAAGGAGCTTAAATCAATGATATGACATGTAAACATATCTGAGATAGTGATTTCATCTTCGTCCAGTTTGATATTCCTATCTGCTCCCATTTTAGCTTAGTATTGTTTATACATCAGTGGCATGGAAAATCATTAATACTTACGTAAATCGTTTATATTACATTATTGGGAAACTATCATGGCAATGACTCAGTATTGACTTAGTTTCGGGTCATACATCATACAGGGTGTTTTAACTATTGACACCGGTTTTGCAGTTGACTTTCACAATCGGTTTGAGCGAGACCACGTCCCAATGCATATCAATCTAGACACATTCATAAGCCCTCTTATCATCAAGCAACACAAATGATCAACTTCAGGGGTAAGCTAACAACATCAATTCTTCTGCTCTTCTCAACCCTGAATATCCCCAAAAGCATTAGTTATAGAAGTCGAATTATCCAGGTCATATCCCTTCGCACCAAACCTACCAAAAAACGACACAGCCAAACACACGTCATCCAAACCAGAAAATATCTTGATGAAGAAAACATACGCGGAAACCATAAGCACCCAAAATCGTACACCACTGCATTTTGCACAAAAACAAGCACACCTATGGAAATACACATCAAACAGGCACCAAAATCAACAGGCAATCAACAGGTTACAAAACAGCAATACATTAACACACTAGGCTCACTATTTGTAGCATAGGCTAATTGACAAGAAAATCCTTTACAATTATTTGAAACATTCCAAAACACACTAAAACAAGAATTAAGTATAGGTTTAGACATCGAGGTCGACTCGAAAGGGAATACAACACATGAATCAGATACAAAGATGTACACATAGAGACCAGCAAAACAAACACAACTAAAGAAAACTCGGAGTTCTACACACACCGCCGTCCCTTACATTACCCACAACTAGTAGCATCTCCTGCTTAACTGGAACTTTACAATTTAAATTACTAAAATCGTAACTATATCATTTTCAAGAAGAACCAAAACAGCAGAGTTCTACTCAGGCGACGAAAAAAACTAGATTTGTTTAAAAAAAAACACGATGTTAAGGAATGATATTTACCCCATATAGATAACATTACAGAAAATTGTAAACGAGCGCTAAACCTTCATTGGCAATGATTTATGTTTCGGGAAACAGACCAGGCACAAATTAAATTAAGCTTTTAAAGATATACAGTGCATTAATTAAATCAAAATTAGATTATGGATGTCAAATTTGTAACTCGGACTCAGATAACGCCTTAAAAAACACTAGATATGATACAACACCAAGCACTTAAAATAGCAACAGGCGCAATAAAAAACACACCTAGCATAAGTCTACATACGGAAACTGGTGAAATACCATTAAAACTTAGGAGAGAAAAATTAATATTAGAATAGTAGAATATGGGCAAGAATTTAAACTCTAGGACCTGGATTTCCTCCTAATGTTATCGTAGAACAAGCGAAGAACATTAAATATAGAGATAAACTTAAACAACACAATAAACCACCATATAACCATGTAACAAACCAACTTCTTGTCGAACACAATTAACACCAAGTTAAAATTGAAGAAATTATTCCAAATTCCACTCCGCCCTGGAAATTAGACACTTCGAAAATTAGCAACGAAACATCAGGCAAAACCAACAAAAAGGATCAAAACATCCACAAACGAACAGAGTAGGGTTAGGTATATAATCCGGAGAAAACAGCATCGCATTATCATTCAGATTGAGCGATCAGTGCTCTGTTTATACCAGTGAAATCATTGCTATAGAATTAGCACTAAGACTTATTAACACCGAAAAGTCCACAAATAGAGCAGTAATTCTTACAGATAGTCTTTCTTCATTACAATCAAAACAGTCTAGAAAAATCTAAAAAAAACTTATGTAATTAACTCAATATTGAATCTAGTAAAAAAATTCAAACAACCGAGGGAATTTAGGTAAATTTTGAGTATGTACCATCACATGTCAATACACCTAGAAATCAAAAGCTGATGATCTAGCCCAAGAAGCTCTTCAGAAAAACACAGTAGAATGCAAGGTGAAATTATCTAAGACAGAAGTATATTCTATTACCAGTCAGCAAATCAGTAATTAATGGTCAGAAACATGGAAAAAATTGGAAAAATCAAACAACCTACGGTAAATTATAGATAAACCTTATGCTAAATCAAAAGCTTGAGGACGAAATACATTAGACGATATCATCATCACAAGACTAAGATCAGGTACCAGGCCCCACTTGTATAAAACATCTCAACTTGAGATTTCCTCAAGTCGAGATTTTCCTCAGCTGATATCTCCTTGAAAATATCTTGTATGAAAATTCCTCAAGGAATTTCAGGACATCCTAGTCGATGCCTTCCTCCTGTTCCTTGAGAAAATTGTATACAAGCCGTTTTTGAGGAGATATCAGCTGAGGAAAATCTCGACTTGAGGAAATCTCAAGTTGAGATGTTTTATACAAGTGGGGCCTGGAAATTAAAAATCAACAGCAGTATAATGGTTAAAGATTCTTACCAGACTGTACGCATTGTAAAAACAGAAGAGACAATAGATAACATTTTTCTATATTGCAATAGATTCGATCAGGAAAGAAAAGATCTCCTTGCCGAATTCAAAAGAATAAAAATCCAATATACATCCATTAACTATCGACTTCTTAGACAAAATATTAACGGTAAACAGAAAGGTCGAAGGGAGACAACTCCCAACTAGAAAGGTACACACCACAATATACCACAGGTAGGATACCCAGGGAGACTGCATCAGAGAGGATTACTCCTGACCCTCTCATTCACTGGTACATACTGACGCCGCATGTGGTATGTGATGTCCTCCTCTTTGACCCAACCCCAACATTCAGATTTGTAAAATAATCTGAAACTGTACAAATTAATAAAACAACACACACTAGTAAACACGTCTAAAAAGGAAAAAAATACACAAACAAACTCCACATTAAAGATCCAACGCCCAATATAGATTAAACATAAAAGGAATCTCCTAGGATCATAGACTAGGCTGTAGTCGGATTCGGGTCTTGTACCCTGGCTTGTAGCATATGGAACCTTGTTAGGTAGGCCAATGGGGATAAATTGTTCTCGATAATTAGTATACAGAATTGTTTAAACTCGGAATCTAAAATCTCACACGATTTAACTCAACACACAACCATAAATACAATACAATACAACATCCAAACAAAATAAACACCATACGAGTTCCTGGACACATTTCAACTTAGGATAAGGCAATTAGGATAAAGCACCGCTATTCCATACAAGTGAGGGGGGGTGTCCTGGGAACACTGTTTTGTGAAATATCCGGACACAAGAGAAGTCGCGGAGACAAAGAATTTGTCAAATAACCGAGTAGAAATGGTTTTTTTTTATTTGCGTGGTGATTGGAACATCGAGAAATGCGGAATTTTACTTATTACCTTTTTTTTTAAACAAAGGAAAACGTTTAAATGAACTTGTTAATTTTTCATCAAATGAAAATGAAAGTAATTATTGTTTAATCCCAGGGTGAGTTTTTGTAACGATCATACATAATTTATAGAGAATGTAAAACACATACTGATACTTATACTGTGGGGCCTTAGATCACACAGCATATCCACAGAATGCAATTTACAGCTGTTAGTTAAAATCTTAATAAACGTTTTAAAATACGGACATTGTTGGAATCGTACATCTCATATAGTTTAACTTCATGCACAGACAATATTAGAAATTTCAATAATAAATACCATAAAATAAGAACACGGTCAACATGTGTTCACAAGGTGTATAAAAATTCAGTGTTCCGTAACGAACATACCACGACTACATTCTTTAACACGATTAAGTGAACACTATTTTAGGGCGCTTTGTTCACGTGACAACGTAAGTTTGCCAGGAGAATCACTCTCAAAAAGAAGCCGTGTTGTAATCTGGCTTTTGTATAGTATATATACAATAGGAAAAATCCTGACCGCGGTGTGTCAAATCTATTTATTTCAAAACACACTAATTTAAAGACGTCAACTTATTCAGACGTTGAACTAATGTCATGTATTGCATTTTGTAAATTGTGAAATTAAATTTAGGTCTCCATTCCGTTTAACTAATTTCATTTAGTCATTTTTACACGATATCACTGGGTATCACGGGATATGTAACGTATATTAAACGTATGTAAAACAGATCCGCTACAACAGAACTCAACAGCTTCAAAATCTCACCATATTTCAACTTTTTCGCGAAAATGTTGCAACGCAATTTGTCATTTCAAACATGAATACCTCTCGACAGTTTGGTTTTATTAGTTTTATTAATTTTAAGTGAAACTGTGTGCTATGTATGCAAATGAGTGTATACCCACACAGACGACTTCATGAAACCAATATGAGAAATGCACTAAAGGGTGGATGGTGGGTGTGTCAACATTCACAATTCGAATGCTCTATAGACTGACATTCAACATTTT